TACACCTGGAAGCACATCAATGGACAATGTCAAAAAACTGCATGACATAACACAAGAATGTCTATTAGCATTGCAAAATTTGCAGATAGACACATCAACATGGGATCCACTTCTGCTCCCCCTTCTACTAAAGAAACTGGATCAACCGACTCGTTTGCGGTATGAACAATCATTATCAAAGCCACGGGAGGTACAAACACTCAAGGAATTCCTGCAATTTCTGGAGAAACACTTTAAATCCATGGAAGCGATGGGTGTCAAAGACAAATCTACAAGCTCAACTGCAAAGGTGTGCACTTCAGTCACATTCAAAGGTCATAGAAATGACACTTGCAGCATGTGCAAAAAAGGAAAACATCCATTATTTTCTTGCAAGGAATTTTTACAACAGTCTCCATCGGCACGCTTTCAGTTCATACAAGGGCAGAAATATTGCCACAATTGCCTAAAACCGGGACATGGTTCTATAAATTGTATATTAAGAAACTGTCTGAAATGCAACAAAAAACACAACACGCTGTTACATTTCGAGGATTCAAAAAGGGATGTGAGCAAAGACATTACATCAGTAGCCACTCCAACACAAGGCAACGAATCGCAAAGTACTACACCATCCAGGACCAAATCAACGCCATCAAAAGACGAAGCAGCGTCACTTACTACCGCAAAGCACACAAAGTCAAACACATATGTACTACTCAGCACTGCCATGTTGAAAGTTAGAGGAATCGGAACAGAAGTGCAGTGTCGGGCAATTCGCGATTCAGGCTCACAAGTTAATTTTGTGACTGAACGATTGGTTAAACGTCTTGTCATCTTAACTAAACCATCATCAATCTCCATTAGTGGCATCGGGTCAAGGAGCACCAAGATACAGCATCGAGTCAATGTGGCGCTACAGTCTCGGATCAACAACTTTACAACGCGGCTAGAGGCAGCGGTATTGCCTCAGATTATATCCCCGCAGCCTTCGCAAGAAATCAAGATCGACGAATGGAAAATTCCTGTGAACATCATGTTAGCCGATCCATCATTCAATCGTCCTGACAAAATTGATATATTGTTGGGGGCGGAATTCTACAACCAACTGATGGCAGCAGGGCAAATCAAACTGTCAGATGACCTACCCATTCTGCAAAATACAGTGCTGGGATGGATCATGGCGGGAAAAGTTGGTGGCAACTACATCTCAAATGCAATATGTGGAATCTGTTCCAACGATGACATCAACTTAGATGCAGCCATTGCTCGAGTATGGGAACTTGAGGATGTTCCAACTGTAAGAAAACAACATTCCTTAGCAGAAAACAGTGCGAAGCTCATTTCGCACAACATACACTCATCAATGAAAATGGGAGATTCATGGTAAGGCTACCATTTCATGAAAATCCGGAGGCCTTAGGGGAACCCTATGGGATGGCGTATAATCGATTCCTGGCCTTAGAACGTCGACTGGCAAAATCGCTCCAGACAAAGAATCAATATGTACAATTTATGGAGGAATATGAGAACTTGGGGCACATGACGCAAGTGGATATTGATTCCATCAGTAAACCTATGTACTTCATTCCTCACCATTGCATTGTGAGACCCGAAAGCCGCACTACAAAATTACGTGTGGTGTTCGACGCATCAGCAAAATCGTCCACTGGCATGTCTTTGAACGACCTCATGTATACCGGACCCACTGTTCAGAGCGAGCTTTTCACCATTTTACTTCGCTTCCGTGTGCCCAGGTTCGTCTTCACCGCAGATGTAGAAAAAATGTATCGACAGATGCTCATTCAACCGGACGAGCGCAAATTTCAACTTATCATCTAGCGAAAGGATTCAAGCCTATCAATAAAGCATTATCAGCTAAATACAATCACATATGGGACAAGATCTGCTCCATATTTAGCCACCAAATGTTTTCAGAAAATTGCAAAAGAAAATGCATTACAAAATCCTCTTGGTGCTCAGTTTCTACAGGACAATTTTTATGTAGATGACGGAATTGGTGGGCCAGACAGCTTAACCACGACGATGGAAATCCAACAGCAACTGATACACATCTTAAAACAACGTGGTCTTAACCTAAGAAAATGGTGCGCCAATCACCCACAATTACTGCAAAATGTTAGCATGGAGGAACAAGAAGTTGACATAGACTTTGACAATGACATCAATCAAACTATTAAAACGTTGGGGTTAACATGGATGCCTAAGATGGATCGATTCTGCGTAAAGGTATGCCTAGGAAGCTGCAGTCTTGCAACTAAACACTCAGTCAGCGCCGATCTTGCAAGGCTCTTCGATCTGTTGGGGATACTAGCACCAATTGTAGTCATGGCAAAAATGTTTATTCAAGATCTCTGGCAACTGAAGCTGACATGGGATGAAGCATTACCAGCCGATTTGAATGAGAGGTGGACAACATTTCGTAATGATTTGCAAAAATTGGACAACATGCAAGTTTCACGGCACGTGTTTGAAGGATATATCCCAGCAAAAATTCAAATTCATGTCTTCTCCGACGCATCAGAAAAGGCATATGGTGCTGCGATTTACATTAGATCCGAGCTGGATGAGGGACGAGTACAAGTGAGGCTGCTCTGTGCACAATCTCGTGTGGCACCCTTGAAACGGCAAACTATTCCTCGGCTTGAGCTCTGTGCATCAGTACTGGGTGCTCAACTAACTACAAGGGTCAAATCAGACCTTAAGCTAGACGATGTGGCTACATACTTTTGGACTGATTCACAAATCGTGTTGGCATGGATTAACTCATCCTCAGCATCATACCAAACGTTTGTGGCAAACCGTATAGCTGTTATTCATGAGCACACTACCGCTGAACAATGGCGGCATATAAGCTCAAAAGACAACCCAGCTGACATTCTATCACGAGGACTGCCGCCGGGGAGACTAGAAACATGCAATATGTGGTTTTATGGGCAAACAATCTTGCTTGGTAAAGAAGACACTTGGCCTTCAAAGTATTCCAAGGCATTATCAGTAATCAACGAAGGTATCAACATGGAACGGAAAGGGGTGACATCAGTCGCTGTTGCAACCACTGGACATGAAGGAAGCGTACTTTATAGCATTCGACACAATGGCTCTTTCAAAACATTACAAAGAGTGGCAGGCTACATGCTGAGATTTATCAACCAGGCCAGAAACCAATCGCGGGAGTCAGACATTCCCTTGACCGTACACGAATTGGAAAAAGCGCTTGTGGTAATCGTTCATACAATGCAGCAATCGGACTTTGAGGAAGAGCTTCAGCACCTTAAAAAATACAACGAATTTCGCAAAAACAGTTCTTTCCGCAGCCTGTCACCGTTTCTGGACAATAATGGCATCATCCGAGTTGGAGGGCGTCTACAAGCATCAGAACTTGCATACGATGCCAAACACCCTATGCTAATTCCACATAACAATTCACTCGCCAAATTATTAGTACAAATGATCCATAAAGAAAACCGTCATTGTGGACCTCAAGCGCTCTTAGCTTACACAAGGCAAAGGCCTATAAAGGGAAAATTGCTGACCCGATCAATTGTGCTCAACTGTGTAAGATGCACCAAAGCTAAGCCAAAACTAATGAGTCAAATTATGGGGAATTTGCCTTCAACAAGAGTAACTCCAGCAAGACCATTCATCAACTCAGGCGTGGACTTCTGCGGGCCATTTTGGGTTCACTTCAAGATAAGGGGAAAGAAACCACAAAAGGCCTATGTAGCGGTATTTTGCTGTTTTGCCACAAAAGCAGTGCATTTGGAATTAGTTAGCGACTTGACGACGGATGCATTATTTGGTGCCTTAAAACGATTTATAAGCCGAAGAGGACATTGTCAAAATGTATATTGTGACAACGCAACCAATTTTGTAGGCGCGAAAAACCATCTTTCTGAACTTACTGACGTTGTTTATGGAAATTCATCACGAGAATCAATAGTAAAGCAGTGCAGCGGAAAGGGAATAACATTTCATTTTATACCTCCTAGGACTCCACATTTTGGCGGTTTATGGGAAGCAGCGGTAAAATCAGCATCTACTAATAAGAAGCACCTCGCACCAGCGTCCTTAGCGTATGAAGAATTGGACACGATAATCATCGAGGTGGAAGGAATCCTAAATTCCAGACCAATCAGCCCAATGTCCGACAATCCTAACGATCTAACAGCTTTAACACCAGGCCACTTCCTCATAGGAGAACCCCTTAATGCCCAAGTTGATCCAACGTCTAGGCCACAGCAAACAAATTTATTAACAAGATGGAAACTTGTTTCTCACCTCAAACGCGAGTTTTGGAATCGGTGGTCCCGCGAATATTTATCGGACCTTCAGCTGCAAAATAAGTGGAAGACACAACACAACAACATCAACGTAGGTGACATGGTGATCATCAAAGAAGACAACACACCGGTACTGCAGTGGCCATTAGGGAGAACCATCAATGTATATGAAGGAAACGACGGTGTAGTGAGAGTGGCTGATGTAAAAACTGCTAGTGGCACTTGCAAGAGGCCTATTCATCGGCTTGCACCCTTGCCCAAGGAAACAAATGATGCCACAGAACGACAATAAACCAACAAACTGCTTGAGGAAGACAAAATTTCATCAAGGAGGAATAATCCTTCCTTACACCAAGGACTTGCTACACTTCTGATTACCCTACTCATCTTACCATTGGCTTTAGGAGCTGAACTTCAAAATAAGCGATTTGGATCAAGGCTTGGCATTCATTTTGAAGGAATAGGCTCAACAGCCATATCAACCACTGATTGGAACCTAATAATCTACTATGACATGGAAGGATTTTTGGTAGAACTAACAGCGCTGTCAAATAGCACAAGGGCCCTGCGTCATTTATGTCAAAAAATCACGCAAAAAAAGCTCATGTCTTTCTCTGGTAGCACATCTTGAACAAACTGAAAAAGAGTTGCAGCTAGATTACGCAATAGTAGAATCTAATCGGCGTAAACGAGGTGCCATTGATGCAGTTGGAAATATCGCTCATTCTTTGTTTGGAGTACTGGACGCAGAATATGCAGAACAAATGTCCAAAACAATCACACACGTTAAGGAAAATGAACTACATCTGCTGCACCTGATCAGAAATCAAACATCCATTGTGGACTCAATCATCAACATTTTGAAGCAGGATCAAAAAGCGGTCAAGAGGAAGTTCGACATCATTGATCAACAAGTGAGTCAAATATTCCAGAGGATCAGCAACGACACGCATGAGATATACCAAGAAAAATTATTTCGAATCTTTACCTCGTTATCCATCCAACTCACACTTATGGCAGCCAATTGTCAAAGAATGTAATCTGCAATATTAGCCGTTCTAATAGATACTCATCATGGAAAAATAAGTCCTCTTCTGCTGACGCCCAACCAATTGCAAGACGAAGTAAACAAAATTAAACTTCACTTATCAGCACCATTGGAACTGCCTGTAAACAAAGAAGATTTACTCCAGCTATACCAACTCATGACGGTTAAGGGAGGACTTACAGAAAAGCATGTTGTATTCAGCATCACATTGCCTCTGGTAGAGCATGATCGATATGACTTATTCAATCTGCTACAAATTCCTACTTGGAATAATGGGACTATGATTGAAATAAGTCCGTGTGCTGTAGTTTTGGCAATAAACACAGCTCTCGGTCAATATTTCCCGCTGAGCATCTCCAAACTTCAATCTTGTGTGGATATTAAAAAGGGAAATTACATCTGTTCTAAAATTCAAAATCGTTATAGTCACGGTTCATCTAAATGCGCATGTGAAGTAAATTTATTCAACAACAACACCCAGTCAAGTTGTCAACTGCGAAAAACACCAAACGATGTTGCATGGATATCACTACAGCATAAAAATCAATGGATTTATGCCACGTCTGTTTCATCTCGTGCAACCGCAGTATGTGGAAAAGAAATCATTCAGGTGATTCTAAAAGGATCAGGGCTGTTATCACTCCAACCAGACTGCACACTCAAACATAATTTTATATCAGTTCAAGCAGATCAGTTGATATCAACGAGTCTTTGCTCGTCCTACACTAGTCTGGGAGAAATTTCCGAAGTAGCTGCAGCAGAACATATAAAGCCTCTTCTTCAATCACGGGATGATGAGAAATACATAACACAAATACAAAACCTCACATCCTTACAATCATCATTGGCCAATCAACGTATATTAGAACTCCCAAACAAACTTGAATCACAAAATGCGCACCACATAACGGTTGGGTACACTGCCTTGGTTACAGTTTTGTGCCTTTTGGTGTTCATGCTAGTCAAAAGAAAATTTAAAACAGCCAAACAGGAAACATTGCACGCATCCACGACTGCGACCACATCCGGTCAAAATGAAAAAACCCACACCTGCGCCTCGACATTCTCAAGGAAGTTTGGACTTTACGATAAACATTTAGGACAGAACCTGCCAAGGAATTCGAGCTGCGCTCACCGGGGGGGAGGATGTTATTAAATAAGAAAAGTCGACATATTAATATTGCATTGGCTTTATTCAACAGGGTATTAATTTTCGCTTGCATTCTTTTATGCGTAGCGTGCACTTTATGCCTTTTAGTGTATTCTTATAGCCAAATAATTTGGCATGTGTCAAGTTACATATAAGACATTGTTGATTAGTGTACGCAAATGACGCAAAATGTGGAATATGCTTATGTCAACAAAAACGTGGGAATAAAAAATTTGCATTAATTATGCTTATGTGAACCAAAACGTGGGAATAAAGCCTTTAAAATAATTTTGCTTACGATCTAAAGTTTTTATGCCCTTATTATTTAGCTACGTAAGCATTTAGTTTATATAAAAACGTAATCATTAATTCAATAAAGATCACTTGAAAGCAATCAAGCAAACAACAGTGTTCGAACTTGGAGTAATCGCTACTGTTACGAACAAGAGGGTTGCCACCTGTTAAAAAATTTAACGTAATTTAAATGATATATTACAATATAGATATTAAATTTAAGAGGGTTAAGAAAGATAACTGCTGGAAATATTTTTGAATAAAATAGCCACCACTTTGATAATTTAAACTCAGTTATTTTGATAAAATAAATGAAATACGGTAATTTGGGTATACAAATTTAGATTTTTAAGACGGCTTACGGCCGAAAATATGGTTGAGGAAGGTTGCCACCCGTTTGAAAATTTAACCAAATTTAATTGATATACATAGGTATCAAATTAAAAAGGTGTAAGAAAGAAGACTTTTGGAAATATTTTTGAGGAGGGTTGCCACCTATTTGAAAATTTGAACTCAGTTAAATTGACTAAACAAATGAAATATTGCAATGAGGGTATAAAACTAAAGAGTGTATAAAATATCTACAGTAGAAAATATGTTTGATAAGGGTTGCCACCTGTTTGAAAATTTAACTCAATTAAATTGGTAAAATAAATGAAAGGTTACAATATGGGTAACAAACTAAAGGCATTTGAGAAATCTTGATTTATAAATATATATCTATATATATATAAAGAGATTTAAGATGGCTTACAGCAGAAAATTTGCTTGAGGTATAATATGGGTGCCAAAGGAAAGGTAATCTTGATTTGGAAATATTTTTAATGGGATTATCACCTTTCTAAAAGTAAAGACTGAAAATATTGAAATTAAATGACCAAATTAGTATGGGATCACCTGGAAATCAGTTGACGTGGTCCAAAGTTATGCGGTAACATACATAAAAAATAATAATCCGACGAATTGATAACCTTCTCCTTTTTTTGAAGTCGGCTAAAAACTACCGAAACAAATAACAAAATGATAAAAGAGAAACGAAAATAAAAAAAACTATCGCATGAAAGCTGTTTAAAAAATACTTAATGAAAACTTTAAACTGTTGACAACATTCCCTAGCATTATAAATCAGTTAACTTTTAATCGTTCACAATTTATTATTTATTTATAATTTGGGGTCGCCTTTGCCTACTACGTATATTGCGAGTAAAGAAATGTTGAATAACTTGATATAATATTATTATGATTATGATTATCATTACTATTGTGAACTCCTCTTCCCGATCCAGAGAACGTAAAGTATAGAGAAGGACCGAAAACTGTGAATGCCACATTTTTTTCGAGCCAACAAAACTGGCGAAGCGCATTTTAAGAGCGACAAATATTTGGAATACTTAACAGCGAAAGCAAAATACAAAGCATAAAAGAAGAATGTTAACAGAGCTAAATCTCACAAGAGCGTTTGGAATGTTAATTAAATATGAATATTGATGATTTTTGTGATAGTGTTTGATTTTTTGTGAACATAATTGTTTTAGTAAAAAATTATTGTTTTAGTAATTAAATTCAAATCTTTTGTGCTAAACTAAGCCCAAACTATTTAAGCACCTTTTTCGATATTCATGGAAATAACTAAGTTTTTTAATCTTTTCGACTTAGAATTTTTTTGAAAAAGAAACTGCGAAAAGAATTATTTTCCATTTTTTTTTGTAGAGATCTCCCTAAACTAAGACGAAAGTCTAAATGAATTTTTTCCATGTTTCCGATATTTATGGAAATAATTCAGTTTTTAATTATTTTCGACTTGGAAACTTTTTTTAAAAATACTAAAAATCTGAAAACGTCGGATTTTCGCCGCAATTAGTAAAGATCTCGCTAATCTAAGCCGAAACTATTTAACAAATTTTTCAACATATTTAATATTTATTCAGTTTTCAAATATTTTCTAATAAAGTCGTGTAAGTTGCCATTGGATGGGTGACAGCTCCGCTACTCATGTGCATATTTGTCCCCCACATTGTCATTTACATATCTAATTTATTAATAACTAAACCTAAATTTATAAAACACATATTTGTAAACTTCATTTCAATACCTATTTCTCCTACCAAATTTTTCATGGATCCAAAAAGACAAACAAATTAAAATGTAAGTATGTATGCATTTATAAATGCACATATGTACATACATATATACGATTGTTCTGCTTTCGTCTTCCCCTCGCCGCTTCCGTCAACACAAATTATTCAATTTCTGCGATCGCCTCCAGATTGGCACGTGCGCGAGACCATTAACCCTACGTTTACGAAATATTTAGATTTTCGCATAACTTTGCATTGAATATGGCAATACTTGTACATTTTGTATGGAGAATAATATTAATTAATTTAAAATTCTGCATGTAACCATGTTCTCGACGATACATGTAACTTTCATCAAGATTAACCATAAAAATTGTGCTTCATTAACAGTTGGAACCAGCTGAAACCAAAAAAACTAAGTCCGCTAAAATGGGTTAAACACTAACTGGAATTGGCATTTTTTACACGCATACATGCATACTTTCATATACACATGTACAGTGGAGTACCACTAGCTTCCCAATTCGCCAAACGACGTCGTTTCCGACTCGTTTTGGTGAACAATTTGTTCGCAGGCGACGGTCGCAAACGACTCGCCGGCGAACTCGCCGTCGGATGAATAGCACACTTCGCCGGCGGGCCGCAAAAATGACTCGCCGGCGAGTCGCAAAAACGACTTACCGGCGAGTCGCAAAAACGACTTACCGGCGGGTCGCAAAAAC